GTTGCTATTAAAAGGGAATAGAAAAAGTCACGGTAATCGTCATTGAGGAGAGAAAAGACAGATCTAAAAGTGAGAATGGGGGTGGGAATTACAATTCTAGAGAGGGGGTGGTACGGAGGTAGGAAAAGGGCTAAAGGTTTCAAATATGGGTGAATGGGTAGTAGAGGAAGATGAGAGAGGCTAAGATTTTCATATCTAAAGAAGGAGTGATAGGAAATGATAAAAGGGGTAGGGGTTGCAGAGGGGTGGTAGAAGGGCTTTGGGAGTAGAGGTGGATAATGAGGGGAGGAGAGAATGGGTTGGGTTTTACAAAAGAAAAATGTTTGGGGGCCCTAATTCTGTGGCTCAAATGTGGCTCAAATGGCCAAAACGACGTCGTTTTGGCCATTTTGATGTTGTTTATACATATATTTTTGGTTAAGCTATAAAAAATAAAAAATAATAATAAAAAATTAATTGAGTTGCAATGCTATAATATTCCACTCACTATTTAATGCTAAAAAAATTAAAATATATTAGAACTTAAAAAAAAAACAAAACCATGAAACATTGAGAAAGCCCACAGGCCCAAGCCTACCCCTATAACTTCCTTAGGGCTCAGGGTAGGGATATCGTAAAATGGCTTTATGGAACCCGTGTTATCCGCGTTGGGTTCCCACCAAAGTGGGCCGAGTCGGCCGCGCCATTTTCAGTTAAAAAAAGACAGAGAAGTGCAGTAAAGGAAAGCAATGATTTCATAATTTTCCCATATTGGGGATCATATTAGGAGATGTTGTTGGTTTGTCTTGGAGTATCACTATATGATATTTTAGTAGCGTTGTAATTGATGAAAATGATAGGATTCATAAACTTGTGTTGAATGATTAGATAATACGAAAAGTATGATAAATTGTGATTAGTGTGATATATGATCACGTGACGCTTCAAGATCAATCAATAATTTTTCTCATATTAGAGCTATGGGTGATTATATTTGCTCAATAATTTGGTCTCATTATTATATCATTTTCTCATTATATTTATTTATTTATTTTACGTTTTATAATTTTTTTCAATTCTATTGTTCCAAATCTCGTAATTTCTCCTTACAACTCTTCTTTTTGTCCTCTTTCTCTCTCTATTATTTTTCCATTTCATTTCTCCTCTCTCTTTAGCATATGGAATCAAGGTGGTGGGTGGTTGCAGCAACAGTTGTTATTAAAAGGGAATAGAAAAAGTCACGGTAATCGTCATTGAGGAGAGAAAAGACAGATCTAAAAGTGAGAATGGGGGTGGGCATTACAATTCTAGAGAGGGGTGGTACGGAGGTAGGAAAAGGGCTAAAGGTTTCAAATATGGGTGAATGGGTAGTAGAGGAAGATGAGAGAGGCTAAGATTTTCATATCTAAAGAAGGAGTGATAGGAAATGATAAAAGGGGTAAGGGTTGCAGAGGGGTGGTAGAAGGGCTTTGGGAGTAGAGGTGGATAATGAGGGGAGGAGAGAATGGGTTGGGTTTTACAAAAAAGTGGTAGAGAGGGAAACGAAGGAGATGTGAAAGAAGTTGAGATAGGTAAAGGCTAGAGCGAAGAGGGATTGAGCAGTAGTGTAGTGCCTAATCGCGTGGAGTGGTGGTACTGAAGAGGAGGCAATGGTAGTGGTAGTGGAAAAGAGTAGGTGTAATGAGAAATTAGAGAATTATCTAGTCTTCCCATAACATTAAACACTAGGAGAGGATATGTATTTGACCAATGATGTTTTTGTGATCTTTTAAAATTATTTTTAATTTTATATGTCATTACAATCTCTTACTAGTAGACAGACACTACCAATGTGATATTTTAAAAAAAACCTAAAAGGAATTACTCCCTAGTAACATCGTGTTTTAAAAATATGATTTTAAAAGAATTAATTGAAGTATGTGTTTTAAAGACACAATTACAAAAAAAAAAAAAAAAATTCAAAAACAAAAAAGAGAATTAAATTTAATATTGCTTGATTTTAGAAAAAATTGTGTTAAAATGACATGTTTTATTCTCTCTAAAAAAACTCAACTTGTAACATTCGATTTATTATTTCATGCATAGAGAGAGTGGATCTTACCACAATGATAAGCAGGGCCCAATTCTTAATGAAATCTAAAATTTAGATGAATGCCATTTTTTTTTTTTTGGTATTTTATATAGAACTTATTTTTCTCTTCTATTTTCGTAATTAAAATTTAGAGTTATTCTGACCTCTATCAACTGCCAATTTTTTTTTTTTTTTTTTTAAAGCTATTTCATGCATCTAATGTAGAAATGAAGTCCTCTTAAATGGTCCAAAATAGCAAATAATCTTTAACTTTTTAAAGATGAGTCCCTTTGTCTTCCACGAGATTATTGCCTTTTGGGGCCCAGACAAATCGTTTTTACATATGAAAGAAAGTACAATTTTTTGGAATTGAATGATGATAACAGTGTTGCCAACTTTTTATTCTTCTTCTACAAACATTATCATTATATCCCCACTCACGACGAGGATGTTATTTGCCAATGAAATTTTGACAAGACATAATTTCGGTATAACAGTGATATTTGCAACTAATAAAGGTAAATTATTTGATCGCATTTATGAAGCCGAACTCTAATTTTCTTCATTCATATGGATTAAGGTTCTAATAATTCTATGGTCATTTAATTATAATTTATCCGTGTGAAATTCTATCAAATCCTCATCAGTAAAAGTCATCATTTAACTTTATCCAAACCTCGTCAGTAAAAGTTATCATTTAGATTAAAGGCCTGTGGCCTAACCCAGGCCCAATTAGCCCATCAGTTTTTTTTTTTTTTTTTTTTGCCTAAAGGCATACATCGAGTGGGTTGGACTAGCTTGAATAATGCCCATCCATTGATCTGTGCGAGGCGACCCGTGAGCCCGACAAAAAAAAAATATATATATATATATAAATAAGCACAAGTTTAAGTCGACAAAAATAAAAAAACATATAAATATGCACAAGTTTAAGCCGTTGGATGAGCAATTGCACAAGTTTAATCCGGTGGGGGTCTTTTTTTGGATTGAATTAAATTTGATTGTCAACCGATTATATCATATCAAGACGTGCGGAGGCTAGATAGGGTTTCAATAGGACCTAGGTCTAAGCCTTTCAACACTAGGCCGATCCAATTCGACCCAAGAAAAAGCACAAGCTTAGGCACTAATTTTGCTAACCAGCCCTAAAGAGATTGGGGAGAATTATGTACTTATGTTATATGTTGCCAGGCTTGCTGACAGTTGTAAGCTGGACTTTTTTCGCTGCCTTAGAACTCTATGTTTCCTTTGTTTCTTTTCTATTATCTTTTTTTGTATCGTTATTGTCCCCTAGTTTTATCTTTTTATCAATCAACTTCTCTTATTTGTTTGCCAAAAATAAAATAAAAAATTCCTGCAAGGCCATAGTATAACTTACTTCTTAGAACTAATCAGTTTTATTAAGCGTAAGGCAAAAAAATTCCTAGCAAAATTAGTTACATCAAGTAGAAAAAGAAGTCCTAATCTATGTATCGTTATATGATAAAATACTAATTACTAAGTCAACAAAATCGGCAAAAAATGAAGAAGAAAACATTCACAATAAGTCAAGAGAAAATGAGTTGCCACCAATGAAACAAACAAAAGGACCAAATGCTCTCAACATCTCAAATAAATGTCACCTTACCAACCAGAAAACTTGGACTGAATTGGTAATATACAAACTCTATACTATGCAGCGTAGGCTTTGAGCATGTATGAGCTAGAAGTAAACTAATGCCTGTGTTTCTGGAAAGCAAACTAGAAATCCACCGCTCTCCCGGACCTACCACTGATGAGGTATTGACTGTAATTCTCAAATATTGCATAACAGAATGTGATTATATGAGATAGAATGCAATAGAAATGAAGTCAGGAAAGTGGGTTACCTACTCTTTAATGCTCAAATCAATTTCAAATTCAAATTCAGGAAAGATGTAAAACAGAAATAAGAAGAAATATAGCAGACTGCACCGAATAGAAGGCAGAAGCAGTTTCAAATTCTTTCAAAGAGAATGTTGTTAACCCTGATAGACTTTCATTTCCGTTTTCAAAGGAAAATATAGTTAAACAGTAGAGCATTCAATTGTTACAATCACAAAACAAAAAGAACATCAATCACTCTATTCAGTTTCAGTTTTCAGCATTTACTTTTCAGAAAATTTTACTTTTTTCGTTTTGGGTAGTGATAGAGGACTCTAATAACAGAGCTCTAGTGAGGTGTCAAGCAAAAATAAAAAAAAGAAAAGAAAAGAAAAGAAAAGAAAAGCAAACTAAAACATCACATCATCATGTGAGACCTACCATTAGAGCTCTTAAATTAAAACTCTCAAACATTATTGATAACATAAATACATTTAAAAAGTATAATATTTGTGAAGAAAATCTTAAAAAAATTTACTAAATACCAAAAATACAAAAACATATATAAAAATTCAGTACATTTTTCATATTTTTGTGTATTTATTAATTTTTTAAAATATTCACAAATATTTTACTATTTAAATACATTTAAGGTGCATCTAAAAAAATAAAAAAAATTATTTAAAATTTTAAAAATATTCACTAAAAACAAAAAAAATATGAAAAAATAAAAAACTCAATTTTTAAAAAATTGAAACCAAACCCACCGAATAATTCTGACTGGATACACACTCCTTACCTCCATTCAAGGAAAACCCAACCTATCCCTGAAAGATAATTAAAATATACCAAAATGAAAACAATGCAGTTTTAGTTCAAATAACTCTTGAGTTGTTCATAAAATGATAACCAACCATTATAGTACTCAATTGTCGCAACGAAGGATTATAAAGCAGTAGTTTAGTTTATTGATTATTGGCAAGAAATGTAGAAATATTCCCTAATATAAGACATCACTACGATGATCAAAACTACACAAAGCACAAAGAAACTGATAGGATCAACATATTCCAATAATCACTGAACAAGGGATAAACTGCAAAAAGAGTACCAGTCAACTCAAACAAACATAATAATGTGTCACTAAATAGGTTTAAATGTACAATAAGCAGAAGGAAATGGCACACAAATGAAAGATTTGAGCAGTGAATGAGAAAACAGGTGGGCTTTTTATTCACACCATAGTCACCCAAAAACAATCCACTTACATACAAATTATTTTCACGCAGACAAATATAAGAAATGTCTATGATAAATACCCATAAAAATTCAAGACATAGATCTTACGGAGAAGAACCGAAGCCCTTTCCATTCATCACACAGCAGCCTCTTTGAGAGCATTCTACATACTTAGACAGCAAAAGCGGAAGAGAGAGCAACAAACAATTTGCCACAGTACCAAAGCGAGCGCAGAAACTAAAAGCATCCATAAACCTCTCTGCCAATTACCCAAAACTTGCAGTATATAAAGCACAATATCTAATCATCTTTGCAAATAAGCTCATCCCAACAAAGCTAGCATTATCACTTCCAAGAACCCATCATTCAGCATCTTAATTATAATGCAATTACCAAGCTTAAAGACCAAATTACAGAGAAATTGGATGTCTCTACAGCAATCAAGTTGGCTACTTTGAACAATTCTTCAAACCCAATTCACAATCATCATTTTTCAACATGCCACAAACTCAATTCAGAGGAAACCAACCGTGGTTTCGCCAGAAACAGAGAGCAAAATGTCCATTTGAAACAAAAGCCCTAGTTTCTCAAAATAACCCACCTTCATGGATTGTACCAATTCCCAAAATCCAACATCAATTTGAGCCAAATTTCTGGAAATTCCTCCCAAATTCAGTCATGAATTCATCGTTCTCTCCCCCTCTCCTCCAAAAAGACCCAAGACTTAAACAAATGGACTCTAAAAACCCTAGTGATAGAATGCATTGAAACGAAGCGGTAAAACCCTAAAATCTAATAGGTCAAGTTGCACAAACCCTAATTATTCCCCCTCCCCCCAAAAACACTCACTGAAAACCTAAAACCCTAACCCTAGATTACTAACAAATTTCTCATATCTTCACACATACAAATTAAAACGACATACACATATATCAACAACAATCACCCAAATTTCAATTCATTTCAAGCTTAGCGCTGATCATCTTCTCTCCTTCCCGAAGACCCCGATGGTGCACCAGACAACGAAGCGAGCAAATTGAGATGCCCCTGAGCTATCGGGAGATAATTCCCAACCCTGGCAGCCGAAGCTTCCCCCATAGGTTGTTGCTGAAGGAACCTTCCAGAAAACGAAGCCTGCGACGCCATGGCCGGTGAAGGAACCACCATCTCCGGTGGCGCCGCCGCGAAACTCCATACCTGGCCGAAGTCCGGCCGAGCCGGTAGAGCCCAGAAGCCACCGGCTGGGCCCACTACTGCAGCGGCCGCGGCAACGTCGTCTTTGCCGCCGCCGTCGACAGAATCGTCGTCGGAGCGGAGTCGCTTCCCGAGGATAAACGGCGTCGGAGTGATCAACGGCTGAGATGGCTTCTGATCAAGCGCGGCGGAGATTGAGGAATTGGAGGAGTTTCTGACGGAGACTGAGACGGTGGAGAAGCTTGCCGGAGTTGTGCCGGTGCCGGTGGCGGCGATGATAGATGGCTCGGCTTGGCGGAGGAGCCACTCGATGGTCTGGCCGTCGGACTTGTGGCCCAGCTCGCGAGTGAGCTGGAAGACCCTGGCGGCGCAGATGATCGGCATGCGGATGCGGCGCCCTCGGCCGTCGACTTTGCTGTGTCGGTCTTTCGCCGGCGGCTTCTTGACAGATAGAGCGCCGTTTCCAGGCGGCTGGAGGCGTTGCTGCTCAATAATTGCGCCGTTAATTACGCCGTTGGCTGCTCCGTCTGAAGTTGACATGGGTCTTCTTCAACCAATTTTATTGGAGAGAAAGGGTCGTAAACAGAGATAAGCAAAGAGATCAAACTGATATTATTTGGATATAAGCGTTTGCAGCTATGGATGGAAGTGTATTGGGTGTGAGAGTGTTAGAGAGAGAGAGAGAGAGTGGTAGAGAGGAGGAGGAGGGGGGTGGGAAACAGAGCTCTAATCATTGAGCGGCAGGAGCTGGTGGAGACAGGAGGAGGGCACATGGGTGGTGGGTCCCACTAATTACTACTAAATACTTACACCAACACAGCTCATTCTCTCTCTCTCTACTCTCTCTTTCTTCTTCTTGGTTAATTACACATTCCCCCTCAAATATACCATTATTTCTCTCCTTCCCAAAACAATAGTCCTTTTTAAGAAATTTAACCTTTTTTTTTTTCTTTCTTCTAATAATATATTATTATATTTTAAAAATATTAATTGTTATAATTATATTTTTTTGTATTCTTAATAAATTTAAAAGAAGGACAAAATATAAAATTCATATTATTTTAATCATTAATTTTTGAAAAAAAGACTAATGTTTTAAGACAACAAAAAATAAAATAACAGACTAAAGGCATCCACAATGGAATAGTTGAAATTGTTTGTTAAAATATGTGTTATATGACAAAAAATAATAAAAGTGGGGCCCAAAAATATGTGTTAAGGTATGTTAAAAGTTTGTTAATTTTAGAGAGTGAGTGTGGTGCAATGGATGTGTTAAGTGTGTGTATATATATATATATAATAAATAAAATAGTATAAATAATATGTGTATTAAATATATAAATAATATGTGTTAAATGTGTGTATTATATATATAAATAATATGTGTTAAGGTACATGATGAAGATAGCAGAATGGGCAGGTCGTCCCGTGGGTCAACCGGCCGATTGACCGGTCAAAGGCAAATATTTTTTTTTTTTTTGAAAGGTCAGGACGTCTGGGAGATGACCGGTCGGACGACCCCAAGGCACTTTCCCATGTCCCTTTCTCCCTCTCCCCTCTCTCTCACGCTGATTAAAAAGCTAGCCACGATTAACAAAGAAGTTAACACCTGACACTAACAAAATCCACTAATACACTACTTAACACTTCCATTGTGAGATTCAAACGTTACTGTAGCTAGCTAAAATTTGGCCTCTGATACTGACACAATCACTAACACGTCTATTGTGGATGCTCTAATGTTTGAGACGGAGGAATTATTTTGCTCTTTGAGGATTTCTTTTCCCTTCTACTTTCATTCACAATCTCTAAATTATTTCTCCATTGTGATTTACTGGTAACAATCAATTAGTGTATCAATCTTCGCCTACGTTTGGGAAGAAAATTTTGGGGTTTTTTTGGCTATTTTAGCCACAAAAGACAAAATAGGCTATTTTAGCCACAAAAAACAAAACATCACATCCAACCCATAATCATTACACTCTTCTCTCACAAAAAAAGTCAAAAAAGTCAAAAAGCCAAAAAGTCCTTCCCAAACCAAACTTTTTAGCCCAGGCTAAAATTGCTAAAAAAGCCAAAAAGCCAAAAAGTCAACCCACTTCCCAAACGTAGGCTTCATCAACATAGTGTTACTAATCAATTTCGGGCCCATTTGGGAATATTGTAAAAAAATCAAAAGTCAATTTTTAATTTATTTTGAGTCATATCATCTTTCATATAAAAAAATTAAAAAAGTCGAAAAAAATTAAAAAGTCAATTTTTACCCATCTTTCCAAAACCCCCGTTACTGTGTCAAAGATTGCATTCTGAATTCTTAGGCCTATTTTAGAAAGTGTAAAAAAAATTAATTTATTAATTTGTTTAAATTATATTACCTCTTTATTTTTTATGTTTTCTCAAGTAAAAAATTTATTATTATTATTATTATTTACTTTCTAAGACAACCCTTAGAATCTATCTTTATATTATTATTATTATTATTGTTTTCTCAAGACTACTTATTTAGATAATTTTTTCTCAATATAAAATTTAATTGTTTATGAAAATCTTCATATATTGATGAGAAACTAACTTAGTCCTATTTTGGGATCTGGGTTAAAAGTTGGTTTTTTAGTTTTTAAATTTTTTGAATCACATTATTTCTCTATTTTTTTATACGTTTTTTAAAAAAAGTTTTAAAAAAAAAAAATAAAAAGGCCAAACCCGAGCTTTCCAAACACCCCTATCCATTGTTAGCCCGATCTGTTTTGGACTGTTTTGAAAAATTGATTTTTAGCCACTTTTTTTTGATTTGTAGCAAAAGTCAAAAGTTGATTTTTTTATATTTTTTTTTAATTTGGAAAGTTGGTTTTTAACTACTGGTAAAATTACAATTTTATCCCTCATGAGTCCAAATGTGCTACATAAGTGAAGTTGTAAATTTTTTAAATTAATGAGGATAATTTGATCATTTTATTGTGATTTGATATCATAGACAAATATTAATAAAAAAAACCAAAAGTAACTTTTTATCAACTTCCTAAATCAATTGTCTAAAAAAAGCCAAAAACTTAGTTAAAAGCAAAAAAAAATTACTTTTTAATATCTTTCCAAAATAAGCCTGTATGGCAAAAGAACCAAGGAAGAGAGTTCACACAAATCCCATATCATAAAAATACTAGTACATGAACTTACTGCAAATAAAGTTGCACTTACTCAAATTATAAAAATTATTTGATGTTTTATTATTTCATTAATTAATATAATACATAGAAAAATGACATATTAAATCAAGGACTTAAATGATTAAAAAAAAGAGTTTTAGCTTTTTTCGAGTTGCCATTTCAATTTGAGAAAGAATTTAAAATTGATTAGCTATTGATTTCAATAATTTAAAACGTTCATTTTTTAGGAGACGAAAAATATAATTTAAAAAATAACTATTTATTTTTTATAATATAAATTTGATTAAAACAAATAACTATTGATATCTGATCATATTAATTTTTTATATGAATACTTTATGCAATGAATTCTAAAAATGAACAGTTTAAATTATCAAAATTAGTCCCAAAATTGGCTTACAAAGTCCAAATGCTCTTACAAATAGAGATGACCAACTTAAAAAAAAGTCAACCCTAAAAAAAATTTAAATTTGATTACTACAACATTATTACTTTAATTGCTTTGAGGTTTTTCTTTCTCTACTATCGGGAGTGTTTGTTTTGGAAGAATTGAGTATGAGATTGGATTATTAATCTGAATGAACTAATAATTCGTTGTTTGTTTCAAAAGTTTTGCTCCGGACTAATAGACCCTTTGGACTATTAGTCCCACATTTGTGGGACTACGGCATCCCATGGAGAGAGGTGGGATAGAAACCATGAGATAACTCAACCCATGAGATTAGTTAATAAAATTACATTTTTGTCCTCTGGTATTTAATTATGTATTATATATAGTAAAATTTAATAAAATTTAAATGTCCCAATTTAAAAATAAAATAATTTTATTTAATTTTTATTTTTGTTTTATTTATTTAATTTTTAAAATAATTTTTTATAGATATTTTATTTATGTTTTATTTTAAAATTTTGTTTATATTTTATTTAATTTCATTATTTAAATTTTAATAGATGTTTTATTTTATTTTATTATTATTATTATTTAAAATGAATTTATTTTAAATTTTAATTAAAAAATAACATATATTTTTATTGATATTTAATTTATTTAATTTTTTAAAAATAGATTTATTTAATTGTGCAAAAAATAAAATAAAATAAATTTTTATTTAATCTAGCTAAAAATAATTAAAATATTAAAGCTATGTTTAATATTGCTATTACTTAGTAAATAATTGAAAATGATAAAATAATTATTTAGGCATTTATCCTTCTTTATAATATCCCAAACAAATATTGGATTCACTAAAAATAGTCCAATTCAGATATCTAATCTCATGACTAAATAAACATAGGATACAAATCCAATCTAACCAAATAGTTCAGGGATAATGTATCACAGGACTAATAATTCGATAGATTACAATCTCTCCTTAGATTTGTATCTTATGTTTGTTTAGTCATGAGATTAGATATCTGAATTGGATTATTTTTAGTGAATCTAAAAATAATTCAGGAATAATATATCACAGGACTAATAATTTGATAGATTACAATCTCCCCTTATCCAGTCCGTCCAAACAAATACACCCATCTTTCCTAATCCATAGCCAGCCATTAACGCTGTGTAACACAACTAGCAAAAAAATAATTAAATTATCTCAATTATTCTTATTATATGGAGGGTTAAAATTGATATTATTTCAGAAGTTATGATGAATTAGGATAAAAAAAACAAAGGCTTGGTTTGGGAAGTAGGTCGATATTTTAGTCTTTTGATTTTTTTTTGACTCTTTTAACTTGGGATTAAAAAGTTTGATTTGAAAAATAATTTTTGATTTTTTTAATTTTTTTGTGAGAGAAAGAATGTAATGATTATGGATTGGATGTGATGTTTTGTCTTATTGGAGCTAAAAAACCTACTTTATTTTTTATGCCTATTTTAGCCCCAAACCCACTTCCCAAACAACCCATAAAATAATTTGGCAGGTGGGTTTTTAGTTTTTTTTTGTTAAAATTTACAAAAAAAAAAATAATTAAAATAGTTAATAAGATAAAATATCATATCAAATTTATAATTATTTTATTTTTTTCTTACAATTATTACATTAAATTACAAAAAAATATAATCATATTCTCAAATATAAAAATTTTAACCTATTAAAATAGTTAACTTTTTAAACAAGACTAAAATGAAATATCACATTTTATTTATCAATTAATTTTTTTCTCACAAATTTTTTTTTTTTATAAACCTTTCCAAACGGACCCTTAAAATCTTTAAATTCAATTCTCGCGTGTGTTGTTTCACACGCGCACTGTTTGAAGCGTTAATTGGGAGAGGAGGAAAAGAGAGGAATTTAAAGTAAGGAGGGTTTTGTCAGTTGGGCCCCACTTTTTCCGTACTTTCTAAATGAAGTTTGAGCTCTTTGGGTTGAGGTGGGCCCTTGGCTGTCTGTATGAATAATGCAGGAAATTTTTATGAATTATTTATCATATTTTTTAGTGTTGGTTTGAAAAGAGTTAGCTCCGTTTGGGACGATGGATTTGATGGTTTTTTTTTTTTTTTGATTTTTTTAGTCATAAAAAATAAAATAAGTTATTTTAATTAAAAAAATAAAAATCACATTTAACTC